AAGTGAGGGTCACTGAGATGCTATTGGCTGCGTGCTCTTGTCCTCAATCCGTACGCGAGGTTGTACAGCCGCACCTCAAGCCTATGTGTACGCGCATGCGATGACGTGTCCCACAAGGGTATGATAATAAGGTATTTGATTTCTCTATTCAACACATGAAATGTAAAAATATGACAATTAATCCTCACACCAATTGAAAAGTCGTGTCATGTTTACTTGCCAAAGGTGGGCTATAGTAAGCATTTTTAACACGATAATAGATATTAATCAGTTTACTAGATAAGATGTTGGAATCCAACCGTAAAAAATGAATGTGCAGGAATTATGATGGAGGAGCGAATGAATTCACTCAACCAGAGAATTTGGATTTGAGAAGCAGTGAAACGAACACCGAATGTGATCGTCATTGATTTATTCGAATTGAAAGGAGTTAGTTAGTCTTTGTTAATACAGGTATGGGAACCAGGGTTGCTTTTGGTTGGTTGCATATTTGACGATTTATTCGAGGGTAATTTATTGCCATACTTGGTGGAGAATAAGACACATAGTTTTAATTAAAAGAGCTTATTGTTCTAGATAATTGTGGGAGAATACCAATGAAATAGGCGACAAGGGATTCATGTAAGGCCTATTCATTGATAGTTAATTTCAAATAATATTAAATTTAATGGGGGAAATTGAACCTGGACTTGACTGTTTCAAATTATTGTACTGCCCAAATAAACATAAGTGGGCTTGATTTCATTAAGAATGAAGTGTCTATTTGATTTTATCGATTCCAAAACGAAATCGATTGTCCTCAGCCAAAATAACACGTTTCCTGTTAAATAAGGTAATCGTATTACCCGTATTGAAGGCCTCTGTAATCCAATAAAATAGAAATATTTCATGAAGCAAAAGAATTCCTTTTCCGTCAAAATGTTCAATTGTACAATGGAGGTAACAATAAGAAACTCTAAATTATGGAAGAGATATGAGCAAGTTGAAAGAGTATTCATTGTTCCTTTACACGAGTACATTGTGACCACTTACTCAAATACCCTTCCCAAAAATAAAATAAGTAGAAGCCTCCATAACAAAAATTTGCCATTGCACTTGCAAAAATGTGCCTTGAAACATATGAAACAATTTATATAATTCAAATAAACGTCAGATTGATATTCAGTCGTCTAAGGCTGCTTGAGTTCGTAGTCCCAAGAGTGGTCTTTGGGAAGTCCTTTAATAAAATGTTCCTCCACAGCCCTTTAAAACTATATTGCCGTCTTCCACTTCTTAGATAAACGTATCAGCCTCCAACTTCTTCGAATTAAAAACTATATTGCCAAATTCCTGGTCTTTGTTCAGCTTTGCAGGGAAGAAGGAGCCAACGTTTGGAGATTTAATCTGCAAATTTTTCCCATTTGAAACTGCATTGCCGTCTTCCACTTCTTTGATAAACGTATCAGTCTGCAACTTTTTCGACTTAAAAACTATATTGCCAAATTCCTGGTCTTTGTTCAGCTTTGCAGGGAAGAAGGAGCCAACGTTTGGAGATTTAATCTGCAAATTTTTCCCATTTATAACTGCATTGCCATCGTCCTGATCTTTGTTCAGCTTTGCAGGGAAGAAGGAGCCAACGTTTGGAGATTTAGTCTGCCACTTTTTCCCATTTGAAACTGCATTGCCGTCTTCCACTTCTTTGATAAACGTATCAGTCTGCAACTTTTTCGACTTAAAAACTACATTGCCATCTTCCTGATCTTTGTTCAGCTTTGCATGGAAAAAGGAGCCAACGTTTGGAGATTCCGTCTGTAAATGTTTCCCATTTAAAACAGCATTGCCATCTTCCTGATCTTTGTTCAGATTTGCAGGGAAGAATGAGCCAACGTTTGGAGATTTAGTCTGTAACTTTTTCCCCTTTAGATCTACATTGCGTTCTACCACACCTTTGTTCAGCGTTGCAAGGAATGAGGATCTATCGGGGCTAGTTTCAGACGAAGAATTTTTCGCAGTTTGTGGTGGATTTGATTTGACGTTATAATAAAACACTTTAAAACAGCAAGAACAACAACCTGAAGCTGGCGGTGCAGTAGGAAAACCAGGTTGATTTGTCACCGAATTTTGTAAATGAACATTGTCATAATTCATGGTTGGGGAAGCAAACGTCGGGTAGGCAACACTCGACAACTGTGAGAAATGGTATTTATGGAGAGGTGTCACAACCGTTGTGCTTCAAATGACCTTTAGAAACTAACACCCACATTATTAGCGCAACCAATCAGTTTGGGGAGGCGAATTAAATTTGTGAGTGGTATTTTAAGCGGGTCTGCTTATGTGCGCGGGTGAGAGAATCAAATGTGTTACATACAATGGGATCATGGTAGTTTGAAGTCAAAAGTGAACTGCCGGTTAATAGACCTCTTTTCCGTATGAATGTACGTTGCCCAGAGCGCACCACGTAGAGTTAAGTCAATCGCACACCCCTTGTTGAAAAGATAAGAAAAGCCTACAAGATATTGCATGAATGCTAGAGAAGAGGACAGTGAAAACTAAAAGATATTCACTCAGGCACATTTTATTGACCTGAGGTGGAATATTTTACCGTGAGACAGAACTAGCGGATGTTTGCACAAATTGATCCGAACATTGGATAGTCATATCGGAGCGTTTATAGTAGGTGATTCCTTCCTTGTTAAAGGGCGACGCATTCAATCACTACTTTTCACAGTACAAATACTGGTATATTTTGCAAACGTATTTTAACCTCTCCGAAGTGCCAATATTCGTTAGTTTATCTCTCATACCTTGAGGTATTGAATCTGTATAACTACTTCTTATAAAAAGTAGTAATAATTTAACTCGCAGATATGATAGAGGTAATAACATAGAGGCTGCTTAAAAGAAGTAGAAATTTCTCAATTTAAGTTAGCATTATTTTAGCCCATGGTTCTAACTTAAATTAAAGATTAGAGAAAGTGTGTCAATGACTCTATGCCAATAAGTAAAGACAGGATATGAAATGTAAAACTGCATCTCTTTGAAGTTGTAAGCTGATGTGAACTGTAGATTTCATTTCAATACATGCGTGACGAAAATTCTTGCGAGAGCATTTAACTTGACGCAAACTCCATGCAAATGTAGCTTGGATTCTGCAGCGATACGAGTTAATGCCAGTCTAGAACTGCCATAATTCATTAAAGATCCCATAGTCATCAAAATCAACAAACAGAATTTCGAAATTTCTTCAAGTACCTGTTTTCAGTGACTAACTTGCTAGACCTCACATTCAGCCCTCCCACAATTTTCCTGTGATCAATTATTTTGGATGACATAACTGAGAAAAATGATTGTTTATCGCTTTGCATTTCATTCTGTGTACGAGTTAATAAATAAAACGCGATGTTGTCATTAGCCCTATAGCTGTCTTCGGGCTTCACAGAAGTGAGGAGCACCAAAGATGGTTGAAGAGTATTAAGATTGTTCTCAATTGGAGAAGATAAAGACTAATTTGCTAAATATTATACCTGGGTGATAAATAATAGTACTTTACTCAATACAAAGGCTCCTTCCTGAATTCGGAAGAGGTACTAGAACGTGACTAAAGTCGCCTCCTTTGCCAACAAATAAATACAAGGAAACACTGCTTATAAAATGGCTAAATGTTTGAAATGTTCAATAATGTGTAAGGTCATTAGTACTCTGTGAAGGTCAGAAATAATTTTCCCCATTGCGAAGATGCATCTTGGCAGACATGTTTACCGAGAAAAGTGTAGAACGTGAAGACCATCCATTTGAAATTTAAATCGAAAGGTTCAGCAGAAGTTTTCAGCTCTTTAAAAATGACGGATAAAACTTCTCAGCAATTTAACTACCTATAAGAACATCATTTTTGTGAATTTTTTTCATGTTTCAACTTGATTAGAAATAGCAATTATTTGATTTGCAAAGTATATGAATTAAATTCGACACTTACCCACAGTTTGACAATTATGAGGATAAGATGAGGGCACACGTATGAAATCACTCTTCTAACTTGACTCTGATAGGCAGTTCTGAGCACTCCTACATTTGTCATCTATTAAATAGTATTATTATCAAAGGCGTCTTTACGTTTGCAGACTGATTGCCAAAATGTGTGTGCATTCTCTCTCTTCAAATGAACTGGAGTTTCAAGAACAAAAAATATAGATTCACATTTAAATGAAATCAAGTAGAATCCATCATCCTCACCACACCATCCCCCTCCACCCACCACGACAGCATGACAGTTATTTTTATCATTGTAGAAGATGTTAAGGCGACAATACTTGCAATGTGAGCAGAATAGGTTAATAAATCTTCCTCCTTGAGAAGACGACACGTGATTCACATATGTCTGATTAATTCATTTTTACTTGTACTATTTGCCCTCTTGCACAACTCAAGTTTAGGAGTAAATGGATTTGTTGACTAGCTGATATGTTCTTTATGCATCTCGTTTCAACCCAGGAAGTTGGAGTATTGTGTTGCAGGTCGTAAAGAACTACTACCAGCCCTCTCCTGTCCTAATTCGCAATGTCAATAATTTGGAGTATACGGCACAATGTGGAATGTTGGCATTCTTTCAAATAATATTTCTATCAAATGACAGGTGGTGTGGTACATGCCGTTAGCTCTTTGGTTGACTTCGGGCTTCAGAGTGGAGAGGAACATCAAAGTGGGAAAAAGTGGAGGGGGGGGGGGGAAGAGAAGAGT